TGATGCTGTCTTGAGAATGAAACAAGGTTTACGAATTTGAAGATAATTCCAAATTGGTAACAAAAAGCAACAGTCAAGGAACAAGTAACAGTAGATTAATCATTGAACTAAACATCATGGATAAAATAAAATCACTTAGAGCCACTGGTGATGCAGTTAAATTCACAAAAAAACAGTGAGTAGATACCGAATGTGCCGACACTTACTACCCTGCCTAAATGGCGAAAATGGAAGCTCCCAGTTTCTTCCCTTTAGAAAATAATCGTAAATCTTATAGTTGATGAAGAAATACTTTGAATCAAATTTCATCACAATAATTAAACGTTCCAGGACAGAACAACAAAATTCGTACCTAAAATTTACTAACGTCGATTTCCCACAAGACGTTGCCGCCGGTTTGAGTGCCGAACGAATAAGCCTTCCTCCTTTGTGGTCCAGAGAAGCCGCCATGTGGAGAAGAACCATGGCATCCAAGGACTTGGAGATTGTATCATGTTTGATGGGGAATTTCAAAGTCTTAAATCCTCGATCTTGGTCGTAAATGAGACTGTTGATGAGGCCTTGATTGGCTATGGTTGTGGTTGAGGCGGTGGTGGCTTTAGGGTTTTTGTTTTTGAGGCGAGGAAGGAAGAATAAGTTTCGTTTGGTTCAGTTTATAAGTATTTTAATTTTTTGAGATCATTTATATTTTATAAGTTTAAATTTATCTCTTAGAATATGTTTGGTGAAACTTACAATTATTTTAATTTTTTGAGATCATTTATATTTTATAAGTTTAAATTTATTTTTAAAAAATTTACATTTTTATATATTTTTTTAATTTTAAAAAGATAAATAAAAAATTTTAAATTTAAAATTTTTATAAAATTTTTTTACTTATTTTTTACTCATTTATTTTTATTTTTAAAATTAATTTTAAAATTTTTTTAAAATAAAATTTTAAACTTATTACTCATAAATAGTAAAAATAAAATAAAAATTCTAACAACACGCACCAAATAGGTCATAAATTGGGGCAATTATTGGAAAGGAAGGACTGCGAGTGAGCAGTGATGGAGACCTCGAGACGTTAAAAGGAATATAGCGGAAAATCGGTCTGCGTACTATGCACGTCCGATAGTGGGTCTGGGCCTTGACCTTGAGGGCATTGGGCCATTGGGATAAAGAATCCAAGATATCGGATTTGGAAAATGGGTGCATAGGATGCACGCGTGGTGTTGGGCTAGGCCATGAACTGTAGTTCATAAGTTACGAATTCTGAAACGCGAGTCGCGGGCCTCAAGGAGAACAAGGAGAACCTGAGATGTGAAGTGGGGTGGGTGGACCTTTTTTGGGTGTTATTGAACCATTTAAATTTTTTATTTGAATTTTTAACTTTTGGCTTAGATAATTTAAATATTTGAATTAATTTAGATAAAATTAAAATAATTGAAATTAATTTTGATTTGAACATAGCTATTAATTTATATTTAAAATTACTAATCTTAACTACCAAATTATTTAAAATTCTTTTTTAATTAAATTTATAGATAAGATTATAAAAAACTAAAAATAATTAAAATTAAAAAGAAAAAACTATTAATGACAAAAAGTAAAATATAATGATATATTTTAATTATTTTAATTAATTAACTGAATTACCTAATAATTTTAAATAATCAAAATCATAATTAAAAAAAAAAGTTAGTGTAGATTAAATATAAAATTTTTATATAATATTATTTTAAATAATTAAAATTTTCATTCAATTTAAGCAATCCCCTGAAT